GAATACACTTTGATTATGAGCGATTTCTGAAATAAATTACAAAAGAAGTTAAATACTATTTGTTTATCTTCTAAAATTCATTTATTCATAATATTACACGCATGAAAGAAAAGGTAGCGCGAACAGTGGCGCGATCTTATGTATCAAGGGCGTGTGTTTGCGTCCCGAGAACTCACGCACATTTTAAATAACATCGGTAGGAGTTCGTATTTCAGTTCGTGCAAGAAGGTGATGCTCTAGAGAGCGCCACTGTAATGGTCCCCACCACGTTATATGGAGTTATAGGGCCCTGGCCGCGCCTACGGGAACGCAAGTGGCCTGCACATCAGCACGGAAAGCGTTGCTTGGAAGAACTCGCTAACAGTCAGGGTTGCACGCTGATCGCTCACATAGTCTGACGCGAAGAATCAGAATTAAATTCTTGGCGTGGGGAATATTACATAAAATTTAGTGAATTAGGAAAGTAGTATTTGGAAATAAAAGCTTTGTATTAAATACTATACTAGAAAAATTTCTAATTTTACTCTCTCGCCCTTACTTCATACGAAAAGAAATTATTGTAACCGTGCGCTGAAAAACGGCGAATTTTCGACAGAAAACTCTTATTGCCCTGGTAACGAAAAAGATAAATCTTGTTCCTATACGTATTAAATTACTTTCTCGTACATTTGTGTTGTGAAAATCCATGTTTGTGTTAACCCCTAAAAATTGATTGACGGCAAAACGTCTGTGTGTGGTCAACACTAGTGCCTAAACCGTTCAAACATCTTTCTCAAAAATTGGTATTTCTAGATTGATCTAAACCAACTCGAGGCATTGCCAGTTTGAAACGGATATTTTGAATTTTGAGGTACCTTTCATGATGCTACAACATTTTAAAAATTTTCTCAAGAATGACACCAAGTTTTTAAATTTAACTTAGTCTTTGGACAGAATAAAAGTCTTAAAACAACGGCGCCGGTCTCATTTTTGTTAAAATTTCTGATTTTTAAAAATTGCAAAAGTTAAATATTTTTTTGCATATTCTACCACTGCAATATTAAAGATAGATTTTTCCTGAATGTAATCGGTTCTTTAAACGCAGAACGTGAAATTACATCACAACAATATTTACGATTTTTCGATTATATCATTAGTTATCGCGTAATTTTGCGTGAAATTTAGACAATTTTTAAACAATTATTTTCTCAAAAAAAAAAAAAACAGGTCAAATTTTTTCTTCAAATTTTATTGTCGAATGTATGAAAGAATGGCAAAAAATGGCGCTAGTCCCATATCCAGCGAACTCGGCATTTCCGAAAATTGCAACAAGTTAACATTGCAAACGAGCAATATTGTTGATAGACATTTTTTTCTTAAAAAGAAACGGTTTTCAAACACTCGGATCTGTATCCTTCCCGTGGTCGCTTGGATTACACTAGTAATTGGATTACTACTGTAATGGATTACTATGATAATCCACCTTTATTGATTTCCGGTTTAAAGCGAGAGTTGACAGTTTTTTGTGTGGATGTTTCAGTACCTTTACTTCTAGGCTGTCCCGGTGACGCAGCGTCGTTGGCAGATACGTGTACGTTTCAGTACCTTTCAAAGATGATCCCATCTCATGGCTTATAGCGAAATGACTAAAGCGAGTATTACTGTCTTCGCGATAAGCTCCGGATATAACTCGGATTACTACTAGAGAGCCCGCGCGACCTCTCGCGCCACGGTGTCTGACCGAAGATGTCGACCATGACTCGGTGGGCTTCGTGCATTGTGAGGGATTTCTACACGGGCTGATGGTTTTAGAGTTTGCTAATGGGATTGAGCCATCAGTTTGAGTGGAAACGAAGATGTCCGTGGAAGAAGTTTACCTTGGCGTTTCAGAAGAAAATTTTAAAAGTTAATCAGATGAATTACTAGAATCAGTGCACGACAGTGAAAGTGATCAGTCGGCGAGTGTAGAAGTCTAAGAAATGCCAGATGACACAAATGGATACTTTGAAGACAAAATCGGTATTAATTGGATAAGCGCCAGCGGTGAAGTCGCGTACTAAGTGCAAATACAAGAACAATGTTTTTCAATCTTCGCTCCGTGCAGAAAAGTGAAGACTTCATCCTTGGTTCAGAACGAGAACATTTTACGTATCCCACTGCCTACCAATGCATACATAGAAGAACTCGTTATTAGTGGAAACATGGTACAATGTTAAACGAAGAAGTAGAAGTGTTTTGTTCGGAATACTTTCTTACTGACGCGCCATGGCGTATCGAAGTCTCTCTCACCACCATTGACATCTTGGGTTTGAAACAACACAGATAACGACACAAGAGCACTCAAAAATGCTGCAAAAACTGTGTATCAACTTGGTGTATCCACACCCCGAAGATCTGTGTACGATATTTATTTGATGCGGACACATTTTAAGAGTACAGCAACATAAAGTTTCAATAATTTTGGCAGTCTTCTTTATTTATTGGGCAAAATATAAAATTTATCAAGTGCGCAAATAATAAAGAATAGAAGACCTTTCAAAAACAACTTCAACCCACATGTTTATATGTGTAATAGCTTAAAAGCAAAATGCACACAATTTCGTATCTCATTTCATTGCATTTTTAATTTTTCAACGAGTTTTTTTGAGAACACTCCTGAAAGGACTTTCAACTAGTAAATGGAATGTAGAAAACATTCCTGTATTAGCCCACTTTTACGTGAAAGCTACTGATATTTTCGAAAAATTGTGCATGACCTTACTTCAAGACCTATTTTCGACAACAAATTTCATTAAGGAAATAAATGCTCTGTTTTTAATATTGTAGTTGTACTAGGGTTAAGCTCTCCTACTTGTCGCTCTCCGCTTGCGGAGTTGAGAGTAGTGTCTATGAATGAACGAGAGGTGCTGCAGAATGACACAGACTTTCTCGCACTACTTAGTTTTCCAATAATTTTATTCTAGGCCAGCATTTTGGTATTCCCCCTACTTTGCCATTTGCTATCAGAGCAAAATGTGCCGATAAAATTTTGAACTTTTGCAATTTTGGAAAATTCAGAGATTTTAATGAAATTCGAGACCGTCGCATTTTTTTAGATTCCTTCTGCGGATAAAATTAATCAAAACATTTGGAGCTAAAAATTTAGAAAATATTAATTAGGCTTCATGTAAAGTACTCCCCAAAATATAAATATCCTTTTCAATCTCTTAAGGCCTCTAATCGGTGAATATAAATTTCTGTTGTTGACCTCGAACAGACGGTAGGTCGTTTTTCATCAATTTGTTAGGATCCAGACTTTTCGATTTTTTGTTAACGTCCCCGACACACGAGTTATTCAGTCGAAAAATCGTAGATTTTTGTCGCAGCATTATTGCAGTTTTTGATTACTACGTAAATGCCTAGAAGGCGAAAAAGTAGAAATGAACTCAGAATCGTTACAAACGGAATAGTTTGATACCATTACACAGAAGAGAAATCTCTTTCGTTACAAACTCTAATAAGATTAAACCGAGCTCAAGGGAACGTAGTGTGCACAGATAACCCCTTTTGATTAATTTTACAAAGAATGGGAGAATTTAACTTGGAAATAAGTACTTTTAAACGGAACTGATCTTTGAACGTTATTGAAGCAATCGGATGAGAAGGAAAACATGTTTTCTCTGGGATGGTGGGAGAGCTTCATTTGAAGAAAAATTTCCTAACAAGCACTTAAGGAAAACAGTGGAGAAACGTTTTCATAAATGTCCATTCTGTGAAACATTTATATCAACTAGGTATCACGGTAATTAATAATATTGTGTTTTTAATAACACAATGTTGCATGAAATGATGTTGTGTATGCAATCATTGTCTGAAAATCAAAATACCGAATTTTCATTTCTTCTACTTTATTAAACCGTTCATTTATTGAGGACACATTTTTCATGACGTAGCATTTAATGAGGTGTACTATATTTAATGAAGTAATTTATGTACAATACGGTTGATCCTGTAAATAAATGCTTGCTCTAATTTTTAATTAAGAACAAAATTATATTATATAGCATGGTATAAGCGACTTGTGGAAGAACTGGGTGGTATGAATAAAAGTAAGCAATTACTCTTTGCTCCGAGTTTCGGAGATCCTTCTCGGTTTCGTTTGAATAAAGTGGGTGAGCAATTGCTCAGTCTCTGAGCCCTTACTCCATTTCTGAGCGTACTCTCAACTGACGAGCAAATGCTCAGAATTGGTATGAATCAAGTTAACCGTTTACTCTCTAGAGTTACAACTCGCTCCAAAATTTCGGAGGGGCCTGGGAAGCAGCCTCACATTTGAAAAGTAAGGATTAATTTGACTGATTATGTATCGAGTGCTGATATGCAGATGCAGCGGACTAAAAAAATGTACAAGATAAAGTGAGATTCTTGTGATGCAGATTGTAACAATCTTTACCGATTCCAAAAGGACAATGTATAGTTGGTACGATTTTTATCGGCGTTTGCTTTCAGGCGGGTTTTCATATTGCATACGAGTATCTTCTATGTTAATCGAACATCTCTCTTTTCCACTCGGAATTTTTCGGGGTACTGTTTTTCCAAACTTTGTAATGTTTCGTTTCGGCCACAACGTACCTCCGAAAGCTGGCACTTTTGAAAAGTAATTTTATATTCGCTTAGCATTTCGGCAAAAACAGGCTGGGAACTGGCGCCTGTTCTTCGTTACTGCTACTCATATTCGAATTTAAAGAACGAGACAACCAAACATTGCTCTTTGCGCCACCCAAATGTGCGCGACGCGCGTAACGTATTTAACCTCTTTGTTACTAAAAAAAAAAAAAAAAAAAAAAAATTAAAGCTGCCACTATCATTGTTCAAGAGCAAATGCTCCAGACATGAGCAAGTTCTTCGAGAGACAACGCAATTTATTATACGGGAACTTCTGCTCAGTAGCCGCGGCGCGCCGCTTTACGCTCAGAGCAAGTATTCCGAGCAAGTTGCTGATTTTTTTTCATATGGGGCAATGCCCAGTGGCGAGGTCTCGCGGACTCGGAGTGCAGGAGGGCGTGTCGCTGTGCCTGCGCAGGATGTCCGGGAGGCGAAGCTGCACGCGGTACGTGGGGCTGTGGGGGCGCGCGCGGGAGGCGGGTGGCACTGCGCGGGCGCTGGCGCGCGCGTGGGCGCAGACGTGCGCAGTGGGCGGAGAGTTGGGGCCCGCCCGCAGCGCCTGGGCCTGCGCACCCCGCCAACCGCCGCGACGACTTCTCGCCATCTTACAGGTGAGGCGGCGGAGGGACGGTTGGGAACAAGGAGGGAGGGCTTAGAGGTGGGGAGACGAAGGGTGGAGGAGAGGGGGGAGGACGAGGGGGAGGGAGGGCGAGGGGAGGAGGGTATGGGAGGGAGGGCGAGGGGGAGGGAGGGACGAGGGGGCGAGGGCACGGGGGGGGGCAGGGGGGCGAGGGACGGGGGCAGTGAGAGGTGGGGAAGAGGGGAGGGGATGGACGGACGGACGGACGGAACGGACGGGACGGACGGACGGAGAGATACGACGACGACGGGACCGGACCGGGCGGACGTGAGAGAAGCATGCGCGGGCTGTGCCGCAAGCGAAAGTGGCGTGGGAGCTGAGGCACCATTCGGCCGCGCGTCACTGGGGCAGGTTGGGTTGGTTGTGGGCAAGGTGGGAGGAGGGGAGACGAGGTTTTGCAGCGAGGGGCGTGTGGGTGCTCACACGCGCAGACGGCGTGGGAAGCTGGGCCGGCTTTACGGCTACGTGATGGGGCTGGAGTTCTCTACAGCCGCGAAAGGCCCTTCGTGTGCGCTGCTGCTCAGCTGCGCGTGTAGAGACGGCGCGTGATGAGCCTGGTTCCGCGAGGGGCGTGTTCGCGCTCGTACGGCTTCTTCTTCACCGCCCCGGTGCTGGGCTCCCTGAGGACCGCTGCCGCTCGCCCTTCCGGCGCGGGAGCCCCTTCCTCGTGCTGTCTCCGCCGAGCAGAATCATGAATCGGTGACGCTGGGATTCGTGCGAGATGATGCGACGCGAGCTGCTTTCATTCCGATGCGGGTGGCGGTGTGTCCCTCCCTCCAAAGGATAATAGATTTGCCTCTTATTCTAATGGAATGTGAGCGATTTCCTCCAGTCACCTTCTTCAGCTTAGGAACCACCCTGCCAGTGCTATCACTCAGAGATATGTCTGGTCTCACGCCATTTGGTGGTGTGTATGCGTGTTAGTGTATAATGTAAGGAAGAGATACAAAGGAGTAGGAGAAAGGTAGCGCCAGGCCTGTAGAATCGTTTTGTTATCAATTGCTGTATCAATGTTTGCTTTGCATTTTGACGAATTTTGGAAAAAATGTAAATCATAGTCAAGTTAGCCGCTTGATTTCTGACCTTGATTTCTGACCTTTTTTCTGATATTCTGACTTTGATTTCTTTGATTTGCTTGATTTCTGACCTTGATTTCTGACCTTGATTTCTGACTTGATTTCTGGACTTGATTTCTGACACATTGATTTTCTGACCTTGATTTGACTTGATTTCTACTTGATGTCCTATTTTTTGACCTGATGTTCCTATTTTTTAACTTTTTCTGTGAAGAGAATAAAGAAATATAAACGCAATGTTTTTTTTAAATTTTTGCTCACTATCGTTTTTAGATATATTGATTTTCTAATTTTTGATAAATGCTCGCATGCTAAAGTTAATTAGTTTTAACTCGTGTGTTGTAATTATACAAATTTAATATTTTGCGACTTTAAAAAACAAGATGCTATTTCATTTGCGGTATATGCTTCCTTGGAATAATTGACAACCAGTTTGGACTCGCACAGTGACAATAATATAATGCAGCATTGCCGCTGACCGTTTTATTATGTTATACTATTCATTATTATTATTATTATATTTTTATTTAAATATTTTTTGACGGTCTGACCCTTTCAATACCGATCTACATATAGGGAAGGATGTATTTGTCTTACAAAACGTTTTATGCCCCTAATCTTCTGAAGTTTCCGCGTACTGCAATCCCCTCGTTTTTCAAATATGTCACTATCATAAGGATGCTATAATTTTGTCAGGGAATACTTTCGAACGTTTGGAAAAGTTCCTTGCCGATGAAGCAGAGATATGAGATCTCTCTTTTGAGTATGAATATTCAAACTATTTAGTTCTTGTTATCTTTTTTTACATTTTCGAGATTGGGCAAAGCTTTGTATATCTGACACGTAGTTCGAATTGGCTTTTTTTGGAAAATTTATATTTTCTTAAAATGCTTTCTAGAGTACAGGAAGTGCACTCAATATATATGTTGTATTCGTTTTTAATTTAAACTGGTGGTAGGTAGATTTACGAATTCGAAACTAGCAATCTGGAAATATCCGCGCTTCTGATGGGTGGTTGACGAGTTTGCTAAGATTTAGTAGTCTACATTACTCGCACATATTCATTCGGGAAAATGAGAAAGTAAGTGGAGTGGCATCATTGTTTTTGGTGTTCTATGATTACGTAGCCATTGGTAAGAGCAAGTCATTCCATTTGTTATCGGAACTTGACCAAATTCGACGCCATGTCGGTGGAAGAATAATCAGGCTGCCATGACATTCTTCGTTAACAGGACTCCGTCAATTTCGGAAACTTCAGGACTGCGGAGTGAGCTCAAGTGCAGCGCTATCGTTCTGGTCGCCAGCCGGCACTCGAAGGAACCAAAGCCTACGGTAGCACAACATTTGGAGTCCTAGCTAGGCGTCTGGGGCATCTTCAGCCGTTTGTGGAGAATTCTAGCAACCATGCTGCTCTGATCGGTGTATCTCATGGTTTTCTCCAATCATGCGAGGCGAATGCTGGGTAATGACTTTAATGGAACGAGTCACGATCGCTTCTATCTTTCCTTCCGCTTCTTCCTAGTCTAGCTCGCGTCTTAACGCATACATTGCACTATACTACAGACAGGCTCACGGTTGTCCAAAGCGTCAGGGTCTGTCAGTAGGTGCTGGCTGGCGAGATACTGGAGGGATAACTCGCAAGGCGCCTTGGTGGGTCCGCGCAGATTGTCCGGGGGGAAACACCTCCCCCTTCCCGGGGTGCAGCGTTGCACGACACGCGCGCTATCTATGGGATGCCCGGGGACCCGCGTCGAAGGCTGGACAATCTTGTCGTGGCCGTTCATTGCCAGAGAAAAGAGTCGATATGCGAAAGCCTTCGACAAGCGCGTCCGGCAGTGGAAGTACGATGGCGCGTGGGGATTCCGTAAATTAGCATACCCATTTCAATATTGAAAAACTGTGGTCCCAGAATTTTGTTCTAATTAAAGACTGAATTTATACACAATTTAAAAATGTTCTACTAATGCACAACACCTGAATATTTCAACACTACAATGTGGGTACGCTAGATTAACGTGAAGTTAGCATACCACAAGAAAAACGCAAGAACATAAAAACTAATATTACCAGACGTTTGCCCGAATTAAGAACTAATTTATAGCCAAATTCAAAAATTTTTGAAAAATATCTGCACATGAAATACTTTAACCACTAATTGTGGTTAGCGCTATGCTTAACGTTAATGTTAGCGTCACATTTAGTTATGAATATTTCGATGTTGTGCATTAGGTAGAAATTTTTAAATTGGGGTTAAATTAGTCTTTAATTAGAACAAAATCTGGGACACAGTTTTTCATATTGTGATAAGTGGGTGTGTAACTTCACGGCCAATGCCGCGTAGCT